CACATTCATAGCACTGTACAACAAACATTAGTTATATAAAAGACACTTCCAATAACTATATACCAGGAGAACCTTATGGTTGACATTCATGGTTATATCAAAGTGATGAACAAAAAGTAAGTGCCAGGGAATTCCTTGAGAAGGCTTCCTCTCCATAGTCTTCCCTTGTGACACCTTACTTATGCTTATAAAATTAAATAAAATAGAAATTCAGATACATCAGGCTGATGGGGGAGAAGCAGAGAAACCCAGCAAACACTGGCATTATGGGCTAATAACTCCAGGTAGCAGAACCAAAGCAGAAATACAGAGAAGACAGTGCCTGGCAAATTAATAAGTGCATTTGACTGTTTGCATCAAGCTAGCATAGGGAACATGGTGTTGCACTCATATCATTACCTTTTCTCTTACTAGTTTATAAATGGATGTTCTTTGTCCTCGACATCCATGAATTATATTCAAATAATTCAAATAATGCTTGCCAATGCCAAAATTGAGCAAAACTGACAGGAATACATGTGCAACCCATAGCAACCTTTTAAATTATATAAATACTACACAGGCAATTGCAAAATAAGTAAAATCAAGTTCCACTGTTGCTCTAAAATAATAAGCAATACATGATTAGGAAAATTATCTCACCTATTGTTATTGTTTTCAACATCAATTTAATATCTGTGGATGTGAAGAAATCAAACAAATATTGCTTTGATGTTTACTTAAGTTTGTTAATAGTTTTCCCTCGCTGTTTATTTGAGAACCCATAATGAACCAATATCATGTGGTGCAAAACAGATAACTAAAATATGCTTGGCCTATTCCTTTTAGACATAATTATGGATATCAGCCCATTGTGGCAGAGGTCATTATGCCAGAACTAGCCCCAGTGTTGGCTTTCATAATTCATGTTTGCTGGGAAGGGGGAAGTCAGCGGAAATTGAGGGTGAGAAAAGGAGAGAAGAGGAGGGAGGGGATATTGAGATGATAAAAAGATATGGATATATAGTTAGGGCTGAAGGAAGAAGGAAAGTTAGTGATTAACTGGGAAAGTGGAAGGGAAGGCATTGGGAGAGGGAGAGAGACATACTGACTTGTACACTTGCTCACCTACCTTTCTCTCTCTCTCTCTCATATGCACATGTGCACACCCAGAAAAAATGCACAATTGTCTAAGGAGATTTTACACAGAATAATCAGATTAGAACAAACATTACAATTGAGTAATGGAGCCTGTTCACATTCACTAAAAGCAGAGGTGATGTACTGTGCTTTTTTAAAAATTGTTTTGAATGACTGTCCCTCATCACTATTTTCAACTGGTTTTAGGCATGACAAAGGCTACAGACAGATCACCACAGCTCTTTGGAGACACATGGTGAAGGTGGCAGGGTTTTCCATTTATTTTTAAAGTATTAGAAAAAAATCCAAGAAGAGTATCCTGTCTACTTTTAATATTAGAAAACTGCATCCATACATTGTTTTAAAAGTCTACCTCAAAACTGGCTACAAATATTTACTATGAAGAAGGAAAATAATCAGTTACGTGTAAAAAATTTCCCTGATTATCAAACTGATTTTAACACTTCATCTCACCATGTTAGCCTTTCTAAGAACTCTGCTACTTTTACATGCTGTCTTGGTCAGGGTCTATTCCTTAGTTTAAGATGCATTTGTTCTCCATTGTGATTAACTTTTTAAGATTCTTATGCCAGTGACTGGTTAATTACTTTAGCCAGTCCATAACTTAACTTCCTAAGCAAAAGTTCAACACATTGAAAAATAAATACTCCTAAAGTCCTAACATTTGAGCTCCGTGGACCTGCTGGTGGCTTGTACCTGTTTTTACATTTCTGTAGGTTATGGTATATTTGTCCTTTGTCTACAAATCAACATATAAATCTGATAAAAAATATACTGATAAATAACCTTTGTGTTTGCAATTGCTGTTTTCATGCTAGGACTGAACCCTACTTTTGTTGCCTTTGGTTCTTGGTTAATAAGAGTCACTTTCCTCACTATCAGTGAAGAAAATAAGTCTTACATCCTTCATACAAATGACAACATTCAATATTCATTTCCGAAGATGTCCTTGACAATAAGCCTCACACAGCCCCATTTGAGGTTACTTCCTAAGACACAGGATAAAGAAACCTATTTCATTAACTACTTAAGGCTTCTGATCATTGTTTCAAAACCTCAAACTAACCAGTATTCTCAAAATATTCTAAACTCCCATTTCTAGCTAAGTCGATCCGTACAGTTCCTCATTGGGAAATCATAACCAGGAGTATCAAAGGAGATGTTTTTCACAGCCCACTTGCAGACGAGCTGAAATAAAAAGAAATGGAGATTAAATTTCACATAAAAAAGTGAGTGCATGTGTATAATCTTAATTATTTTTTTACTCTTAAATACTTACATAGAGAATATAACCAATATTTATATTACGTTTACAGCCAAGTACACTTGTAATATCTGTTGAATTTAGCACTGATCAAGGAAACTAACCAGTATTCTCAAAATATTCTAAACTCCCATTTCTAGCTAAGTCGATCCGTACAGTTCCTCATTGGGAAATCATAACCAGGAGTATCAAAGGAGATGTTTTTCACAGCCCACTTGCAGACGAGCTGAAATAAAAAGAAATGGAGATTAAATTTCACATAAAAAAGTGAGTGCATGTGTATAATCTTAATTATTTTTTTACTCTTAAATACTTACATAGAGAATATAACCAATATTTATATTACGTTTACAGCCAAGTACACTTGTAATATCTGTTGAATTTAGCACTGATCAAGAACAAAAGACGAGATTTTAGACAATTTTCACAGGGCTATAAACCAAGTAAAGTCTTTCTCCTCTTAAAGCATAAGGACAGTTATCAAAATAAGACCCTATCAGCTTACCTGGAAGTAGATCCCAGCAAAAATTCCAGTGATGAGAGATGCAGCCCCAAACATTCCAGCCACTGGTGCATGCTCTGGTTCAACAGTCCTAATGGTCCAAGAAATTTGATTAATTTCTGCTTTCATAATTACAAAATGAGTACACTGATGAATAATATTATTCATTATTCACAAATCAAAAAGAGTAAAAGCTGAAATATTACCTTGGGCAGTACATCATAGCCAAGGAAGAGTAGTATCCTGAGGTGATACCCAGGATCATGGAGAGGACCCAGTATGCCCAGTCTGAGTCTATCAACACAGGCAATATCCGCATTTCACCCTTGGGGTAATAGTGGCACAACAAGAATGCTGGGATTAAGAAGAGGCGGAGGAGCACTGGGATACACAGGAAACGTGGTCCAGGCTGTGGAAAAATGACAGAATGAGTATCACATTAGTAGTTCTGGGCTAATGGAGAATGTTAACTTTCAATATCATGCTCCTTTAATCATTATTGATTTATAAATATATTATATCATACAAACAAAATATAAGTTGTTTATGAATCTTTATGAGTAAAATTGTCATTTTAAAAAAATGACTCCTCATTAAAAAAATACGCTACTTATCACATATTTCTATCACACATGCATGCAGACATGCACACACTTAAGCATGCATGCATGAACATACATGTGTGCATGCACACACATACATGTGTGCACGCACATACATACATGTGTGCATGCACACACATACATGTGTGCATGCACACACATACATGTGTGCATGCACACACATACATGTGTGCATGCACACACATACATGTGTGCATGCACACACATACATGTGTGCATGCACACACATACATGTGTGCATGCACACACATACATGTGTGCATGCACACACATACATGTGTGCATGCACACACATACATGTGTGCATGCACACACATACATGTGTGCATGCACACACATACATGTGTGCATGCACACACATACATGTGTGCATGCACACACATACATGTGTGCATGCACACACATACATGTGTGCATGCACACACATACATGTGTGCATGCACACACATACATGTGTGCATGCACACACATACATGTGTGCATGCACACACATACATGTGTGCATGCACACACATACATGTGTGCATGCACACACATACATGTGTGCATGCACACACATACATGTGTGCATGCACACACATACATGTGTGCATGCACACACATACATGTGTGCATGCACACACATACATGTGTGCATGCACACACATACATGTGTGCATGCACACACATACATGTGTGCATGCACACACATACATGTGTGCATGCACACACATACATGTGTGCATGCACACACATACATGTGTGCATGCACACACATACATGTGTGCATGCACACACATACATGTGTGCATGCACACACATACATGTGTGCATGCACACACATACATGTGTGCATGCACACACATACATGTGTGCATGCACACACATACATGTGTGCATGCACACACATACATGTGTGCATGCACACACATACATGTGTGCATGCACACACATACATGTGTGCATGCACACACATACATGTGTGCATGCACACACATACATGTGTGCATGCACACACATACATGTGTGCATGCACACACATACATGTGTGCATGCACACACATACATGTGTGCATGCACACACATACATGTGTGCATGCACACACATACATGTGTGCATGCACACACATACATGTGTGCATGCACACACATACATGTGTGCATGCACACACATACATGTGTGCATGCACACACATACATGTGTGCATGCACACACATACATGTGTGCATGCACACACATACATGTGTGCATGCACACACATACATGTGTGCATGCACACACATACATGTGTGCATGCACACACATACATGTGTGCATGCACACACATACATGTGTGCATGCACACACATACATGTGTGCATGCACACACATACATGTGTGCATGCACACACATACATGTGTGCATGCACACACATACATGTGTGCATGCACACACATACATGTGTGCATGCACACACATACATGTGTGCATGCACACACATACATGTGTGCATGCACACACATACATGTGTGCATGCACACACATACATGTGTGCATGCACACACATACATGTGTGCATGCACACACATACATGTGTGCATGCACACACATACATGTGTGCATGCACACACATACATGTGTGCATGCACACACATACATGTGTGCATGCACACACATACATGTGTGCATGCACACACATACATGTGTGCATGCACACACATACATGTGTGCATGCACACACATACATGTGTGCATGCACACACATACATGTGTGCATGCACACACATACATGTGTGCATGCACACACATACATGTGTGCATGCACACACATACATGTGTGCATGCACACACATACATGTGTGCATGCACACACATACATGTGTGCATGCACACACATACATGTGTGCATGCACACACATACATGTGTGCATGCACACACATACATGTGTGCATGCACACACATACATGTGTGCATGCACACACATACATGTGTGCATGCACACACATACATGTGTGCATGCACACACATACATGTGTGCATGCACACACATACATGTGTGCATGCACACACATACATGTGTGCATGCACACACATACATGTGTGCATGCACACACATACATGTGTGCATGCACACACATACATGTGTGCATGCACACACATACATGTGTGCATGCACACACATACATGTGTGCATGCACACACATACATGTGTGCATGCACACACATACATGTGTGCATGCACACACATACATGTGTGCATGCACACACATACATGTGTGCATGCACACACATACATGTGTGACAAAAAAAAATATTCTGAATTATATCAATTCCAAAAACATGAATTATAGAGGAGACATATATAAATAACCCCAAGAAATCACCTGCAAGAACTGCTGGGAAGACAGCCAGGGTGACAAAGAAGACCATGAATACATTGAAGAGTTGGGGGAAGGCCTTCTTGAAGATGTAGAAGTAAGGAACCTTTGGCTTGCTGGGATCTCTCTTGGCCGCTTTCTTGGCTCTCTCATGCTGAGCCTCATGGTATCTGAAGAATCGCTGTGAGAGAAATAGAGAAATCAGTGCAAGCAGATATAATGAACAGAAATCCAATACTTCCTTTAAATACCTTGCAAAGAGGACTGCTAAACAACAATCTGCTTCATAAGTAAAAACACTGAATAGTAATATATGTCATTAAAATCATATAGTAGTCACTCCCTGCTACAAAATCTTAATAAGTGATAATCAGCACATACGTTTAGTGGAAGAGCGAAGTATGTGTCGAAGCAAGCCAAGAGAACGAAAAGTGCTGTAATGAAGTAGTAAATGGCTGAAGTCCTGGTGTTTGGTGCCATAGCAATAGCAATGATGTTGATAAGAGCTGTGAATGTCCCACTCATGTTCTGAAAATATTGAAGACATTAATTGCTTTTGTTATCTAAAATATATATATTGTCAGATATAAATGAGAGAATATATATCAATTTCAAAAGCATTTTGGAGAAAATGTATTCAATATCATTTTCATCACTATAAGTTGGAATTTATCCAGTTGATACACAGATTTTAGAACATAAAGTATTCAAATCTGTAATAATTGTTCACTGATAAAATATCCCAAACTTTTCAGTACTGAACAAAATAATATCTCATTTGGAGAAAAAGTTTCTGCGACCTGCAATTAAAACTCACCGATCCCAACACTACAGCACCAGTATAAGCGAAGGGTAGTCGTGCTGCCATGCCATAAACAGTGTTCTGGTAGATTCCATTTGCAACTGGAAAAACAAATTTTAATTTTTACAACAGAATTACATCTAACTTCTTACTTTATAGAGAGATATATAATGTTATAAACAAACTGATTTACATAAGTGGCATCATCTTCATAAAAGTGACATTTTGTTACACACATACATACAAACACACACACACACTCACACACACACACACACACACACACACACACACACACACACACACACACACACACACACACACACACACACACACACACACACACACACACATATAATATATATATATATATATATATATATATATATATATATATATATATATATATATATATATGTATGTATGTATGTATGTATGTATTTATGTATGTATGTATTTATGTATGTATGTATGTATGTATATGTGTATATATATATATAAATATATATATATATATATATATATATATATATATATATACATATATATATATATATATATATATATATATATATATATATATATATATATATATATATATAGAGAGAGAGAGAGAGAGAGAGAGAGAGAGAGAGAGAGAGAGAGAGAGAGAGAGAGAGAGAGAGAGACACACACACACACACACACACATCTATATATATACTTAACTGTTTGACTAATAATGTACTGAAACTTGAAAAGCTTCAGTACAGAAACATTAGAAAAACTAAATGCAATCTCACAGAGTACAGGTGTGTCAAACCATTCTGTGTGGGGAGACAAAGGCTCAG